TGTTCCGTGACAAAGTATGAACTGAAACATCTAGTTTTAGCACTTACATTTTATCTAAAGTAAACATGGAACCAATGCTCGCACCAGTCTTCGCATCTCGGCATGCAAAATGCACCGATCAAAGCACAGCCGATTTCGTCCTTGCGTGTGGTACTTATTTAAGTCACCAGTATCTTGCACATCCCAGAAAGCCATGAGTACCAGGACTGCTCGGGCTATCAGTGTGAGTATCCCCTGTTAGCGATGTTATTCGGATGCTTCCGCACACGTAGCTCAACTATGCCAAGCCTTTCGATCCTGGGCTGCAAACCTCGGACTACCAGTGTTGTTATCCAAAAATAAATTATCCATAAACAATTTTTCTTCGCGAATGTTGCTAGCATATTATTTCGCAGTACTTATTAATATACCTCACTCCTCGCCTAATTTTTATGCTAAAGTCGCCCAGTACGGCAGATAACGTGGTACTTAGGTTGGAGGAAACTCAGGCCGGAACGCAGCAGGCTTGCCGGTGCGATAACACGTTTTTGCATTAAACTCGTAGGCTGCTAATAACAGGAATAATCCCTGCGCTGCAGCCAAACTCTTGGACTCATATTGGCCATGCTTTCGTTTCTTCCCGCATGCAGCAAAATGGGCATCGGTTGGAATGAGGGTGTTGCATTATAGAGCCGCTTGGACCTGCAGGTACATGATTACTAGTTTTTCGCATGAAGCTTGGTCGTTTTTTCAGCAAATGCTAGTTTTTTGAAAAAATGAAAATGCAAATTTTTTGAGAAAATGCGAATTTCCGCTTCACTAAAAAGTGGAAGTATTGCCTAAGCGGTCGTTTGTGAAAAGATCCAAGTATGCAAATGAATTAATGTTCATGTACATATTTTGATGAGGGCGGTCGTTCGCTGCAATACGCACTCGTTTCTGATTTTTCGGTAAAGTTGAGTATTTTTCACGCCTACCTGGAGGGAATTCCACTTCCAAGCAGAATTAAGACCGTACTTGAAAGTAGAATATCCCAGCGAATTTTCGGCTTCGCAGCTTATCAGGCAAGCGAAACACCCATTTCGCTACAAATATCTTTGAAGTGCCCTAAGTCGTGGCGCAAGTGCAAGTCGGTACTCATTTCAAGTATACTATTTCCTGTATGAGAGACAAACATCCTGACAAAATTTCAGCCATTGTTTTTCGGCAAGTTTTCGGGTTAGCATAGTACTAAGTTGCAAACTTTGGCGCGATCGTACGCGCTGAACAAGTATGCACGACAACTGAATTTGAAATATTCAGCTCGCACATTCACAGAGAATATCCCTGCAAAGTTTCAGCTTTATATCCCGCCTGGTTCGCGAAATCGCTTCCTGCTAATGAAATCTGCATATTTTTTCGGGGAGTCCATACGCGGAGTCTAGGTGCGTGTGAGGGAAGATCTTAAAACGGGAGAGTGACATACGGGGTAGAAATATATACCCGAAATTTCAGCTTCCTAGCTTTCTCGGTTGCTGAGATGAAACTAGGTGACAAAATGCACTTGCTCACACACACACACACACACACACACACACAGCCCCTCGACAATATACGTTTTTGCTGGCTGTGCACAGGAAAAACGCATGAAAAATTACACTGAGTTACTTACGGGAATGAAGTAGCAGTAACGGTAGCAGCAGCAGTTGCAGCAGCCGGTGGACTTGGTATCCTTGCAAGAGGGCTATTCGACCTGCTTGACGAACTGTCGTCAACACTGGCCAGGACTGATGTTGCTGACATTTGGGTATTCAGTATGGTCACTCCAGTATTTGCTGCTGCTCCTGTTTGGCCTGTTGTTGTCGTTGCTGCTGTTAGCTTCATGTTATTGTAAACTGGACCGTTGATGCCACTGTACAGGGAAGACGCTGACGGTGGTGGTGCGGCTGCTGCTGTTGAACGTCCTGCTTGCGCGATTCCACCATAATCACGAAAATCCTGCGAAAAAGTGTTTTTAAGCTAACAAAAAATAAACGCGATTTTTCAAAAAGACGTGTCATTTCAGCCCTTTTTTCCTTGCACTTTTTCAAGTAATTACAGGCATCACCCCCTAGAGGTGTTATCAACAGCAGACTCTGATGAAACTGAAAATATCTGCTTCTCTCGCAAATTTTTCGAGAATAACTAAAAAAAACAGTGTAAATTCATAAGTGCTGAAAAAACACGCATGTATTAAGTCGCACTTCGAAGAAACCTTCGCCGCCTGCTTTCTGCGCACAGCGATTTTAAATTACGTATAAACAGGTCGACTTGCAGCAGAATGAATCGCTAAGCAGAAAATTCGCTGTGACGCAGCAGCAATTCTAGCGCAATAAGAACGAGAGTGAAGATAACCTGACGGAAGACATGCTCCTTCTTGAGATTCAGCAGTACTTCAGCTGCTGCTGCAACACTGGAGTAACGGACCAGCTGAAGAGCCAGACGTGCCGGCTGCTGCAACAAAGCAACTAGTTGAACTGCAAAAACTCGAAACTCGAAACAGCCCAGCGCGATATCTCCTCTGGATAACGCACAAAGCGACAGTATTCTCATTGCTTTTCAACGTTCTACTGACTTGCATCAGTTGTGGCACTGACAAGAAATGTATTACGACTTTATGAAACGAAACATTTCTTTCCAACTTAAAAGAAAATTTTTCTAATTTCATAATTCTTCAGTCATTTCCTATTTATACCACAACGATTCCTTTAAAACTTAATTTAAAATTAAATCTGATTTCC